TTCAAAAATTAACACATTGCATACATACTTCCTAGAGGTTAATTGCTGTATAAGACACGGACATGATATCCTATTTACAAAAAAACCATTAGAACAAATCCATCAATTCATTAAGAGAAAGTAATTTTTAATTTTTTTTAAGTTTATTTAGTGTGTGTGTGTGTGTGTGTGTGTGTGTGTGTGTGTCCAGCTCAGCCCACCAGGGGGCAGGGCTGGCTGGCATGTGGTGCTGGGGGATTGAACAGGGGTCCCTGCACTTTGCTAAGCTTGTTCTAAGTAGGTGCTTTAGACCACTGAGCCATCTCACCAGGCCAGTACTTTTTAACATAATCAAAACAGTCCTCAGAAAAATCTCACGATTCCCTAGATTGACTTACAGTCCCATGCCATGCATGTAAACATTTTTATCAGTGGGGCACTCCTACATCATCATTTTCCTCTTCCTAGTTTCACTCTCTATTTTCTTTCTTTTGTTGGTTTTTTTGAGACAGGTTTTCTCTAGGTAGTTCAGGCTGGCCTTGAGCTCATGATAATCCTCCTGCCTCAGCCTCCTGTTGCTGGGATTATAGGCATGCCCCACATGCCCCCAGCTTCACTCTAACAGGTGGTCAAAGATCACAGACTTCTTTTAAAAAAAAAAATTGTGGGGGCTGGTGAGATGGCTCAGTGGTCTAAAGCACCTACTTAGAACAAACTTAGCAAAGCCCAGGGCCCGCGGTTCAATCCCCCGGCACCACATGCCAGCCAGCCCGCCCACTGGTGGGCTGAGCTGGCCACACACACACACACACACACACACACATAAATAAATAAAAATAAAAAAATAAAACAAACCAGAAAACTAAGTCCTCAGCTTACCAATTAAAAAAAAAAAAATTGTGTATTTCGTACAGGGTCTCATTATGCAGACTGAACTGGTAGTGATCCTCCTGTTTTCAGCCTCCGCAGGGGTGCACCACCATGCCAGGACATAGTCACTGGCTCACTGTGCCCCAGGGGTGGGGCCAGCATGGCATGCGGGACTGAGGATCGAACCCTGGTCCCCTGAGCTTGTCAAAGCAGGTGCTTTGTCCCGTAAGCTATCTCACTGGCCCAAAGAGTTCTTTATTGTTTGTTGTTCTCTCGCTCCTTCTTCAGCCTTGATTGTAATCTAATACCTGGCTGATGGAAGTTAGCTTTTTATACAGTATGAAAGGTTTATGAACAGGCCTCTAACTGTGTGCTGAATGGGTCCCAGGATCACGCTAAAAAAGAAAGCAAGGGCCTGAGTTCAATCCCCGGCCCTGAAAAAAAAAAAAAAAAGAAAAAAGCAAGCTGTAGCTGAATATGGTTGCTTGGATGGACCTACAGTACATACATACATACATGTCACATAAATGTATACATATAAAAGTGCATATTACAAAATGGATCATAATTTCTCTGTAATGAAAAGATACTTATGCAAAAGAATTACTTTTCTTATTTTAAGATTTTCATCTCTAACCTAAAATGGTAACTGTAATTTAAAAAAGAACTAAAATGGTAGAGGCAATTACATGAAAAAGTAGAGCTTCTAGGGCCAGTGAGCTAGCTCAGTGGTCTAAAGCCACTGCTTAAGCAAGCTCAGGCAAGTGCAGGGATGGTGGTCCAATCCCCTGCAACACGTGCTCCCTCGCCAGCCCTGCCCCCAGGTGGGCTGAGCTGGTTGCAAAAAAAAAAAAAAAAAGTGAACTTCTATAATGCTTCTCCCAAAATACTGAAGCTAGGAAATGCAGATAAATCTTAAAAATTAAAATAAAAACTGTTAATCCCCCTCCTTTTATAAACTAATAGCACTGCCAAGATTTAACAACCACAACATGTTCAAAATTACTCCACATTTCATGTTAGGAAATTTCAGAGTGTTTGCAGAACTCGACAGCTGTCTCATTCAAACTGAATTTGGGAACGATCTCACCACCTTTTAGAGGTAGACTAGTTAAACCGACAAAGCCCATTTTAAAGAGAAGCAGCAGGAATAAAAGCACTCTGCAGAGTACTATTTCCCTGATTGGGATTGACATTTAGCGGACAATCGTGTGTGTCCTTGAGAAGGCCCATCCAGAGCAGTAACACATGGAACTAGAGTACGGTACTAGTATTTTCCATGAGTCAGCAAAGCCCAGCCAAGAATGAGGCCTGCCCTAAAAAGGATAATACAGAGTTAGGGGGCTGGAGAGATAGCTCTGTAGCATAAGCACCTGCCTGGCAAGCGCAAGGTACCGAGTTCAATCTCTGGTACACGCATGTTGTGCAGGCCCCACAACCGGCACAGTGGCACACACCTATAATCCCAGCACTGGGGAGGCTGAGGCAGGAGGATCACTGTGAGTCTAAACTGCGTAGCGAGAGCCTGTATCAAACAAAATTTTTAAAAAAGAAAAAATAAATACACAGCGTATCAAATGCTTGTCTCCAAGACAGGCCTGTACACCAGTCAAGCTAACTCCTTTCTGTTTATTTTATAGTACCACTGTGCATCCCGGATAGTCAAGTTCATACGGAGCTATGCCCTCTGTGACCGCCTCTTTGAAAACAGTTTCTCTACTATTATTTGCTTATAAATTCTCTTTACTACACTAGACTTTGTATTCAGAATCCAAAAAATTTGAGGCTTATTAGGAGCTATGTGTTTTGTTTTGTTTTTTAAAAAAAAAGATTTTTAAAAATTGTTTTGAGACAAGGTTGCCCTCTGTAATTCAATCTGCTCTTACATTTTTTTTTTGTCTTTTTAAAAAGATTTTATTTATTTATGTGTGTGTGTGTGTGTGTGTGTGTGGCCAGCTCAGCCCACCAGGGGGCGGGGCTGGCTGGCATGTGGTGCTGGGGGATTGAACCTGGTCCCTGTGCTTTGCTAAGCTTGTTCTAAGTAGGTGCTTTAGACCACTGAGCCATCTCACCAGCCCCTTTTTTGTCTTTTTGAGACAGGGTCTCTGCTATATAGTTCAGGCTGGCCTTGAGCTCTTTGTAGCCCAGGCTAGTCTTGAACTCACAATGATCCTCCAGCCTCAGCCTTCCAAATGTTGGGATTATAGGTGGGAGCCACCACGCCCAGCTTAAACTCCTACACTCACTATGTATCCCAGGCTGGCCTCAAACTCACAGCAATCCTCCTGCCTCAGCCTCCCAAGTGTTGGGCTTATGGGTATATGCCACCACCGCACCTTGCCAAAAAATGGTAACTTTCAGTAAGTTATCTATGCTGGTCTACCAGCAATTTTCATAAATCCCTAACATCTTAATATAGGAGAATGATGCCTGTGTATGGCGGTCCCCACCTGTAACCCCAGCACTCTAGAAGAGACAGGAAGATCAATGGCAGTTTGAGGCCGGCCTGGACTACACAGAAAGACCCTGTTGCGAAAAACAAAACAAAATCTGTTAAGGGCTGGGGAGTTGGCTCAGTAGAATAAGCACTTGCCTGGCAAGCACAAGGGCCTGAGTTCAATCCCCAGTTCCACCAAAAAAAACCCCCAAAATACCAAAAACCCGTTAAGGGTTAAGAGGAATACAACATACTCTATAGAAATTCCACTTTTCTGGCTAGATATTTTGAGGCAGATATATATTTATAGCATTAATAACCTGAAGAAAATCCATATTTATTCACCAATTACACTCCCTCCCCCGTATTCTGCATCCCACATCTATCCCACACACCAATCCAGGCTACAGTAAGTAAAAAGCTAATACAAATAACCAATGTTAATTTCCTATTCTTGTTTTGAAATTCGGTACTATTTTTATTGCTTTATGTTGCTTTGTTTTTGTCTTTGTTGTTATTTGTTTTTTTTTTTTTCTTTAACATAAAATTTTTTAAACATGAAACAAATACCTATGGACTTCGTTTTTTGTGTAAATTTTTCACCTCTTGTATATTCCCGGTATTTACGATATGATGTCTGCTTTGTTGTAGGTGAAAAAAGTACTTTAAGCTGTATTGGTAGAGTCGGTGTCTGGTCAATATTGCATACAATCAAAACTAGATTGTAGGGGCCAGGGAGATAGCTCAGTAGAATAAGTGCTTGCCTGGCAAGCTCTGGGTCCTGAGTTCAATCCCCACTACCACCAAAAACAAACAAACAAACAAAAAACCAAAAACTGGATTGTAAGCAATACTTAAAAAAAGTATTTTGAGACAGGGTCTCCCTGTGTCATTCAGGCTGGCCTCGGACTCACAATTCTCCTGCCTCAGCCTCCCAAGTGCTGGGATGGCAGCGTGCACCACCAGGCCTGGCCACTGTAGCTGTAATGTAGAGAAGATTCTATCTGTTGAGTGGCTGAGCAGCAAGGGTGCTATCTGCAGTAAGGGTAGACATTCTATGGTGCGCTGAAGATCCCGGCCCTCAGATCTGAACCGCAGCCGGTGTGATGTTACTGTAATACAAAAAAGCAGAAAGCACTAGATGGGAAAAACAAAAATACTTGAGCTTCTTTTGGGTAATTTTTTTTCCCCAGAAACCGGGGACTGAACTCAGGCCCTAGCTCTTGCCAGGCAAGCTTTTATCCTGCTGAGCCATCTCCCCAGCTCTATACTTGTGCTTCCGATGCAAACAATTTCAGAACTGCCACTGGCCAGACTGCTTTTTTTTTTTTTGTATTTTAGGGAAGGATCTACAGGGTGTTCAGGTTTTGTTGTTGCTGTTGTTGTTTGTTTGTTTGTTTTGGGGGAGCTGGCTCCGAATGCCTTCAGGGCAGGTTGGAGTCTTGGGGATAGAACCCAAAAACATTCAGTTTTATGACGAGTTGAACATAGCCAGGAAAAAAACAACCCACACCTCTCTCCCTTTGTCCCTCAGATTCCAAGAACTCAGGATAACCCTGTTGGTAATAAACCGGCGACCGGTTCAGAAGGGGCTGGAGTGTGGGGTATCACTCAGAGTCCCGGGGTGCCACCCCTTTTTGAGGCCTAGAATGGAAAGACCACTTCTGAGAACGGCGGGCTCGCGGGGTTGCGTCCTGGTCACGCTCCCGATTACCTCTGCACAGCCCCACACAGCGGAGTAGCCGATCAAGCCAGGTCCCGCAACAGAAAAGCGGCGGCCGCTGCAACATCCGCGGTTCAAGTCCACAGCCTCTCATAAGCGGGTCTAATGCACCTGTACCAGTATTACCAGAGCTGCGGGTGCCAAGATTAGGGAAAACTTGGGGCAGGGGCGAAGAGGTCAGGGGAACGGAAGGAACACCAGGAGGACCCACAAAAAGGGTGAGGGAGAGGGTGGGGGGACAGGACGTGGCGGGGAAAGCCACGGGTCGGAGCGCGAGCCGCGGAGTTCCCATGGTAACGTATCCCTCCGCCCGCGACCGGGGTCCGGAACTGTGAGATTCCCTCCGCGCCGCTTCTCGTTTGTTTCCGCCCAGCTCCTTTGTGCCGCGCAAAACGTTGCGATGACGCATGCGCAAAGATGCCCGCGCTGCCTATATAAGCGCGACCCCGGGCTCTTCCTCGTAGTGCCGCTGGGACCGTTGGCAGGAGCGGGTGTCAGTAGCTGCTGAGCCTCGGGAGCTCTGAGCCCTCCGGTTCGAAGAGCAGAGCGCGCGGACTGGTCAGCATGTCGCGTTACGGGCGGTACGGAGGAGGTGAGTGTGCCGGGCCCACGGAGGGACGCTGCCGTGTGGGCGGTGGTTACTGTGAGGCCGTAGGGCTGGCGCGGCGCTTGGGAGACGGTTATTCCGCGTGCGTAATGGCGGCTTCGGCGCACGCCTGACGAAGTGGGGCAGCGGGGGCGGGGTGTGGGAGGCCGCCGGGGGTTGGCGGGCGGGCGTGCGCGAGGCTCGGGGTTCGTGGCCTTTCCGTCGCCCGCTGGTCCCGCGGCGGTCCGGGAGCGGGCTCTCCCGTTGTCCTCACGGCTCTGCCCGCCGGCCCCATCCCCCTCCGCGCGGCGGCCGCGGCGGCGGCTGCCATTTTGCGCGCACTGGCGAGCGCGGTGGCGCATTTCCTCGGCGCTTTCCCGCCACTGGCGCGGGCGCCGCTGGTCGCGGCCGTGAAACCGGGCTAGGGTTGGCGACGGAACGAGACTGGCAGCTGTGGGCTGAGCGTCTCGACAGTTGGTTCGGATTGCAGAATGAGGATTGCGCTGGCGGCTGACTTTTCTCTCGTTTGCTCCTCCGCGCGCCGTGTGCGCGCTGGGGCGGGGAGCTGGCGGCCGCGCCCGGGGCCGGGGCCGGTCGCCGGGGAGGACGAGGCCCGGCGCGGCCCAGGTTCGCCGGGGGCCCGCGCGCGCCTCGGGGGCGGGGCCGAGCCGGGGTCCGCCCGGCCCCGGGAGCAGCCCGCCGCGCGCCTGTACGGGGTCGCCGGGGATTCCACCCGCGGCGGGCCGGGAGCTCGGTCCTGAAGAAGGCTCGCCCGCGGGCTTCACTGCTTTAAGACTAAATCTCCTTGCGAGTGGGTAGCATTAAATATGGCGGCGCGTGGTGACACGTGCCTGTCGCCCCAGGAGGTGCTTAGACTGGAGCCCAAGAGTTCGGAAGCAGCCTGGACGACCTAGCCAGACCCTGTCTGAAAAGGAGTGACTACACACACACACACACACACACACACACACACACACACACCACAGTCTTATTTTGGAAGGCACCCCTCATTTTTTTGTCTTTTCCCTGGTATTGGAAACAACCTAGGAACTCACTTGGCTAGTCTCTACCCCTTAGCTATTCCCTGCGGAAGGATGGCCCGTGTGAAGTTAGGGTTCAAATTGAAGCCAGACTTTAATTTCATCTCTTCTGTTTGCGTTAACAGAAACGAAGGTGTATGTTGGTAACCTGGGAACGGGTGCCGGCAAAGGAGAGTTAGAAAGGGCTTTCAGCTATTATGGTCCTTTAAGAACTGTATGGATTGCAAGAAATCCCCCAGGATTTGCTTTTGTGGAATTTGAAGATCCTAGAGATGCCGAAGATGCAGTACGAGGACTGGATGGAAAGTAAGTGAGATGTTTTATGAGACTTAGGTTTGCCCTATAGTACTAAGCTTGGGTTCTACATTTTGGAAACTTGAAATACGTGATCGCAGTGTTACTAAGACCTGAGACCCAAAGGTTTAAGAGGGTAGAGAGGGTGGAATTGGAAGGGCTGAGTAGAACCAGTGCTACTTAGAAGTAAAGACTTCTTAATGTAGAAGTCGTGATTTTAACTCCATAATTTTTATTATTTTTATAGAGTGATTTGTGGTTCCCGAGTGAGGGTTGAATTATCAACGGGTATGCCTCGGAGATCACGCTTTGATAGACCACCTGCCCGTCGTCCCTTTGATCCCAATGATAGATGCTATGAGTGTGGCGAAAAGGGACATTATGCTTATGATTGTCATCGCTATAGCAGAAGAAGAAGAAGCAGGTATTTAGTTAATAAAGGAATGGTTGGTATTCTAGTTAATCAGTAATTCTTTTATTAGCAAGGCAGAAACTAGTGTTTTCTATAAACTTGACTGTTAATTGTACAGGTGTATTTTACAATTTTTGTTTAATTAAAAAAATGTTAATATATTAATAATCAACCTGGTCAAAACCTTTCAGGTTTCTTCGTTTGAGTCAGTCGCCTTGATTCAGAATGTCACGAGCCTTATGATATCATGCTGAGGCGCCTTGCAAATCCGACAATTAAGATCCTCCTAGACCTTGAGGTGATCAGCATAAGAGGCCAGATCCCCTCGAGTCATCTACACCTAGCTTCACCTTATTCTTTAAAGGGCAGAAAATTTGAGACGGTGATCGCCGTAACAGTAAAATTGGCTTACAATTGGGGCCCCCTCCGCTTTAGAAAGAGGAACACCAGATTGACCACATTCCCAACTAGAAAAATCTTCTTGCGTCAATCAAGCCTCATCTGGCTCTTTTGGCTGTCAGTTTGATCGTCGTTAGATTGAAGAAAACATCTAGATGCAGCGATCGGCTATAGATACTTCTAGATCGTCTAGATCTACTAGACCTACTAGACCATGGGCCAAAGAGGGTCGACTGCAAACTTGCAAGGTTTATTTTAAATACACATTACAGTGTTTTATATTATGTAATTCTAAGTTGTAATTCAGCTTTTAACAAATCTTTTTTTAGGTAGTTAAAAAAAAAAAACTCAACAACTAATAGGCCCAGAATTTATTTCCAAATGAGACACTAAATTTAAATAGTTCTGAGATTTGATTTCAGCAGAGGCACATAAACTTTTAAAATGGGCTATGATCTAACATTTTATATTTTTCTAAATTGAAAATTAGGTCACGGTCTAGATCACATTCTCGATCCAGAGGAAGGCGCTATTCTCGCTCCCGCAGCAGGAGCAGAGGGCGGAGGTAAGAGATCTTGATTATTGTAAAATTTTAATAAGTGAGAAAACTTTGGGGATGAACTTATTCAATTTTTAGGTCAAGATCGGCATCTCCTCGACGATCAAGGTCTGTGTCTCTTCGTCGATCAAGATCGGCCTCGCTCAGAAGATCTAGATCTGGTTCGATAAAAGGATCGAGGTATTTCCAGTATGTAACACTCTCTTTCTCGTTTTTAGTTAGATTGTCAACTTTTTAATGACAGACAGCACTGTGGGATGCTTACAAACATTCAAACAAATTGCTTCAGAGAATATTTGAGAAGGTTGACTTATATATTATTTGAAATGATACTAACTTGGTTGTACAGTTGAAGATAAGCACAACCAAGGATTTAAGGTTTGTAAAGAGCAGTTATGATGATGGTCATGCCTATAATCCCAACATGAGTCAAAGGAAGGACTGCAAATTGGAGGTCAACCTGGACTGTAGCAAGACCCTGTCTCAGGGAGAAAAGAAAAGGCCGTAGTGATGGAGATGGGTTAAAAGCAACAATTATTTTAGAGAACACAGTAGGCATGCTGAGATAAGCTTCTGTCCCATAGGTCAGTGATGCTGCCTTTGAAAGTTATTGGTCTAATTGCTGACAAGGCCCACTAGAACTGAGAAGAGACTTAAAAACAAGTTGAACATTCAATATTTTTTTTTGAATGGAATGAATTTTGTTTTGAGATAGGATGACCTTTCTAAATAAACTACCTGTGCTTTTCCCATCTCAGGTTACTGAGGAGGTGGGATTATAAGCATATGTCATCTCTTGGTGTTAAATATGATTGCCTATGCAGATCATTTTTTTAAAAAAATATTTGAAAAATTGTGGTGGTGTATACCTATAGTTTCAGCACTTAGGAGGCTAAAGTAGGGTTGCAATGAGTTCAAGGCCACTCCGTAAACTATATAGCAAAATACTGACTGAAAAATACCCCCCCAAAATATATGTGTGTGTGTGTGATCCTTGAAATTGAGCACAAGACTTGGTGTGTTCCACCACTGAGCTATATCCTTTGGCTGTACATTCGGCTTCAACATAAATTTAAGGAGAACTCCACCATTATTTCCTTGTAGAAGCCTTTAAAAAGATGATAGAATGAGTACAACTACAAAATAAGAACAATCAGTGCAGACAATGGAGGAAGCAGTGGTACAGAATGGCACTTGGGAATTAATTAGCACAGAGCCTTAAAATGAAGGTCCTGTATTCTGAATCTTAGATTCTACATGAGGAGGTATGGACCAGTCTTAAGGCTAGTTTGATATCTGCTCCCACACACAGCTAATCAGGGGGATTTTTTTCCCCCTAAGACCATAGGTCTTATTGCCTGGGCTGAGAGCAAACTTGGGATCGTCCTGCCTCAGCCTCCATCAAAAGTGTTAGGATTACAGGAAGGTGCCATTGGTTGCTTTAAAATGAACTACTGCCCTTGATGTTGAGTGTTTTGAGCATATTGTTCTGTGTATAAGGACTATGACTGTTGAGCTTGGTAGAAACAAGTAGTTGAAATGATTCCTTATATTTGAAGTTAGTGCTTGTTTGAAAGTAATACTTTTCTTGCCTTAGGGTATAAGTTGAGTCAGCCTTTTAGTTTAGCTTCTCTATTCTTAACCTGTCTTATATAAGATGGTCAGTATTAAAGCCTATAGACTTAATTGATAAAATTTATTTTATTTTATTTTAAACCAAGATCCCGGTCCAGGTCAAGATCAAGATCTAGGTCTCTTTCACGACCAAGAAGCAGGTAGGATAAAAATTTTGTTAGCTCCGCTTAATAGTTATATGGCACCAATATCCAAAGAGTTCAAAGTATTTTGAATTGTTGAAATTTTGAGAGGAAATACAGTACCTTGTTAGGCCAAACGAGATCTTAATTTATATATGACTTGCTGCTTACTTCCTGGAGGAGGGAATGTGAAATATGGATGTTTTAGCCCTTTGGAGGCCGTTAACATTAAGAGGCCCTAGTTAGAGTTGATTGGTTCACGGATAAGAAGCATCCCAAGGTAGATGTGCTTAAATCAGAATTAAAAGATGAGTTGTGATGGTGTAGCAGGTCACTTGTTTCATAAGAAAGTTTTGAAAGATTGGCTCTTTAAAGTGATAACTATGGTAGCCTCTACAGTTACAAAACTGCAGTCTGACAGTGTAAGCTTAGAACAGTTAGGTATCTGTTTCATGGTGTCACAACTTCAAGGAAAGGCATTGGATAGTACTTCTTCTTACTAGAATTTTTCATGTTTTGACAGCCGGTCAAAGTCCAGATCTCCATCTCCAAAAAGAAGGTAAGCTTACATATTTTGTTGCCACATCTTAACCTGCCAAGTGTGGCCTCTGCAGAATGCTTGCTTACTACTTGGTCGTCTTTGAGCTCTTTGGAGAATTGGTGCTGTATATGATCTAAGTACTGTTTCTGAAATGGTTGTTTGTTCTTTTTAAACACCACCTTATGCTTTTCTTTTGAAATATTTTATCAAAATGTTAAAGATATCAGGATGTGTCTAATATCAAAGTATCAGTTAAATGTCTACATGGAGAAAAATGAATCTTGGAGATAGTTGATTTTTATACTTTAACAGTTGATTTTTATACTTTAATGTCCAAAAACAAAAGGAAAAAAAACCCCAAAATTTAATAGCTTAAATTGTTTGATTTAATTTTTCTTGGAATTTCGTCAGGGTACTATATACCTCAGAATTGTTGGCGAAAAATGAATGTGTTAATGGCATGTGATCTTGAGGTCTTCACTGCAGGAACTTAGTAGCTTAGTTCCCGATGTGTACATGAGAAGAGCGCATTTCGGTGGACACTAACTGGTTCCCACCCCAATGTTTTTCTTTTTAGTCGCTCCCCATCAGGAAGTCCACGCAGAAGTGCAAGTCCTGAGAGAATGGACTGAAGTTCTCAAGTTCATCCTTTAGGGAAAAGTTATTTTGTTTACATTATTATAAGGGATTTGTGATGTCTGTAAAGTGTAACTTAGAAAGGATATTTCAACCATCTAATCAAAATGGATCTGGATTATTACTGTGTAAATTCATGGCAGTAAAATAATATAAATTTTTGTTGAATGTATTAACATCTTATGGTCTAAAATGTGGGGTTTTATTTGGCACATTTAAATAAAAAGTTTCTAATAGACTTTTGATTTGTGGTCAATATTAACACTTCTTGAGTTGGTAAACGTGAGGAGACAGACTTAAGTTGTCACTAGCCACATTCATGCAGACCCACATTCAGAGTTTAATGACATTGGTTAAATCTTGAACATAAACTGTTCCTTACACACACACTAGGCTGGGATCTTAAGGGATGTCAGAAATTCCATTTTACCCTTGTAGCATTGAGTAAGATGATTTTGAGTCCCGTATAATAGCATGGTTATGACAGATCCCTAAATTTATTTGAAGTCAGTGTTACTGGATACTGTCACCTAATCAGTCTAGGGGGACCACTGATTTGCCTATAAATAAGTACGACAAGAACAAAGCAAAACTTAACTAAATGTGATATAAAGTGAGAAACTGATTTGTGGAGGCTTTAGTAGCTAATGTTTTCAGGCTTTTGGGTGGGGTGGTTTCTACTGTTCTTTTGTTTCTTTGTTCTCAGATATTTTAATACCAAAACAAATGCATGTGTGAGGAATTGTCTGAATTTGGAACAAAATACTGTAAACCAGCTTTGCAAAATTTTCTAGCCCAGATATACTCAATCCCTTTAAGTGGATTGCCTTTTTCTGTTGAAAGGCCTGTTCTATCCAGGCTAAAATGTTTTGTTTTGTCTTTTTTGAGTCAGACCCTGTCTGTGTAGTTCAGGCTGGCCTTGAAGTCACTAGGTAGCCCCTGCTTACCTTGAACTCTCAGGCAGTCCTCCCTCAGCTTCCTGGGCGGGATTATAGGTGTGCACCACCACACCCAGCTCCAAACTTAAGTTTTACAGTTCCCAACAACCATTCTGTTTTGCCAAGCTGGTACAAAGAAAAGTAATTGAAGATGTTAACCAGAAATGTTAATGAGACTTAGCAGTTTTGTAAATCTCACATATTTAGCAATATTTCATGTAGCTAATTTTTTTTAGTAGTATCTCTTAGATCGTAGAGTGTTAATAGCCAGTAGGTTCTTAGTCAATTTAAATATTAAGTATAATAGGGCAGTAAAACAGTCGTGAGGATTTCTGGAAATGCTTTCATCAGTATTACTCAGCTCAGAATGCTGGTGACCCAAGAATCTGCCCTTGTCTATTTTGTAGGCTTTTAACAGTCATTAGATAGTATTGGAATTTGGGAATCCTGGTCTGCCTCATTTATTTGATGGTCTTGAGTGACCACTAGTATGTTGGGAATTACTTGGATTCTTTACCTTTGGAATTTTGACAACTGGTTAAATTAACAAAGTTGGTATAAAGCTATGTGTGATTGGCAGGCTTATCTGTTGCGCTTGGTTAGCTTTGTTATGTATTCTATAAAGTTAAATTTATTCAACAATAAATCTGCAGAGATTGAACAAATAATCCTGATACTCAGTTTTTGGAAGTGTGAGCTCTAAGCCAAAAGTAGGAATAACTGAAGTTTTTAGGAGGGGTAATTAGTGACATACTAGATATTAGTAAAAGGGAATGGGTACAAAGGGGTGTGGTAGGGTCACAGGTGTAAACAGTTGTCCTCTTGGAGAGGCCGTACTAGCAAGTCTAGGCAAACAGGTTTTGTACTTCAGCATGGACATTCTGTTTAATATGTCAGAATTAGGCAGTTACATGCTGTGCACCATCTTTTGCCCTGTTTAACATTAGCTAGTTAAATTTTAGGCCTAGAAATCATTTTTTATTTGGTAGAATAGTATGTAGATAGTTCATTTCACAGTGGTAGTTCTCTTGGGTTTTGAACCTATTGTATCAGATTAAATCTTGCTTTCTTGAGGACAGAATACTAATGAGATCTTGAAATTTACCAACTTGAAGTTTGGTTACATGCACACAATAGGGTAAGGTTTTGGTTTTCATGTTTAACCCTATTTTAAGAGTGTTAAGAAATACGACTTTCCAAGATGCTTACAAGCAAGTAAAAATTGCAAGGTATGAAACTGGTAAGTTGGCAAAAAGCTGTCAAAATGTAGTAGCAAAGTTAACAGCTGAGCTGGCCCTGGTGTAGGCCTTCCCAGTGCTAAGAGGAGGATTGCTGCAAGTTTGAGGCCAGCCTGGGCTACATAGTAATTCCTGTCTTTTTTTTCCTCTATATTTATTTATTTTGGCGGAAGCAGGGATTGAGTTCAGGCCCTTGCACTTGCCAGGGAAGCGCTTTATTCCACTGAGCCATCTCCCTGGCCCAATAATTCTAGTCTTTTAAAAAAAAAAAAAAAAAAACTCGAAAGTACAAGCAGAGAAAGTCTAGCCCTGCTTGATTTTGGACCTTTTAGAGGGTGGTTAGAAATAGACTGGGGAGGTAGCTCAGCAGCTTATTAAGCTACCTTACTGGCAAGGGCGAGGTCCTGAATTCAATTTCTGGTACCAAAGGGAAAGAAGAGGTGCGCTAAAGGCATAAGATAAGTAATTAGGTTTATGGTATTTTACTGTTAAAGCTGTTACATCAAGAACAAGTGAAAATACAGGTAGTTTGAAGGCGTGGGAAAAGTACCTTGTCTGCAGGGGAATAGTGAGGTATGTGCTGGCATAAATTTTTCACACAGATTACCTTTTTGAGTAAACTGTCAAATTGTCACTTATTCCTTACAACAGTTGTGCTTTTTCTCTTCCTGTCTGAAGAAGGAAGAGCAGATTAGTAATTTGGACAGGTTTGTTTCCCTGGTGGGAAGTGAGACAAGTGAATCCTACCTGTGGTTTCAAACATTCCCTCTTATTTGGGGGGGGGGGGGGCAGAGTCTCATTGAGTATGTAGTTCAGGCTAGCCTTGACTTTTTATTATTTGACCCAGGATGGCCTTGAACTCACAGCGAGCCTCCTACCTCAAACTCTCCAGAGTTCTGGTATTTATGATGTGCCACCACATCCGGCCTAAAAATACCTATTCTCATGGAGCTTAAGTTTTAGAGGGATGAATAGATACTGGGTAGGTGTGGTTAAGTGATAAAGGGGACAAAATGAGAGAGAAATTGATCCTTTTGTGGAGGGTAAGCCTAGGATCTTGACATTTGAGCATCATAGCCTTCCAGGGAAAGGGTTCTGTGTAGAAGCATAGTAGGTGCAAAGGCCCGTGAAGTGCTTTGGGTTGTTGGCGGATGAGGGTGTCAACAGAAGGAACAGGTTGACTGGAGACTTTTTATAATTAATTTTTTAAAGAATGCTTGTGTAGCAGGTTTAGGTTAGTAGCAAAATTGTGAGGATTGTACATTTCCCACATGTTCTCTCAACACATACATGGCCTAGGTTTTCCCCAGTATCAACATCCATTGCCAGATGGTACATTGGTTAATTAATAAATGAATTTACACTGACATTGTGACCTAATGTCCATAGGTTACATTAGGGCTCATTCTTGGTGGTATACCTCATATGGGTTTGGACAAAAGTATTAGCCTCTTCTGTTACCACATGGTAATCCAGGAATCCCAAAAAAACACTTATTTTTTTAATTGTTCATTGCTTTTCATTTTCTGGTGTCATATACTAGTTGAAGTCATATACTATGAGATTTCAGGTTGGCCAGTTTCACTTTGTAATTGCCATTTTTAAAAGTTCTTTTCCTTTTTTCTGTTTTTGTTTTTTTTTTTAATACAGGGTCTTACCATGTGATTCAAGTTGGCTGTTCCACAGTTACTATTTTAACCTACTGAAGGACATCTTTGTTGCTTCCAAATTTAGGTCATTATGAATAAAGCTTCCATGTGAAGAGTGTAAACAAATCTAACTCCTTTGGATAAATACCGAGTAATGTGATTGCTGGGTTACATGCTAAGAATATGTTTAGCTTTATAAGGAACTGTTAAATTGTCTTCTGCATAGGCTCCGTGGTCTTATGTTTCCAGCAGGGAATGAGAGTTTCCATTGCTCTGCATCTTCAGGAGCTCTTGATATTTGCAGTGTTTCAGAGTTTGGTTTGGCTGTGATAGTCACTTAGTGATATCCTAGCATCTTGCATTTCCCTCATCAGCCTCTGATGTAGAGCATGTTTTTGCTTTTCTGATTTTTGAAACAGGGTCTCAGTCTAGAGTCTAGACTGGCCTTGAAATCACTATGTAGACCAGGTTAATCTTGAACTTGCAGCAATTCTGCCTCAGCCTCCAGAGTGCTGGAATTACAGAGTATATCCCCACACCCAGTTGTAGAGCATCTTTTCATGTGTTTTATTTTCTATTTTCTTAGAGCAAAGGATCTGTTAGTTATTGGCCCAGCTTTGGTCTTTCTTTGTATGGTTTTTGAGCATAGTAACAGGAATTTAAACAGCTCATATGGGTGGCGGTGAGGGTTGTTTCAGGTTACTGGTACTGTGTTACAGAGTACTTCATTGCACAGATCAACATGTAGGGAGCACTGAAGCTGAAAATTGGTCACACGTGGGGGTGAGGCAGGGCCTCCCAAGAACAAAGAGCTCCTGAGGCAAGCCAAAGGATGTCATGTGACTTCAAACTACCCAATGTGTAAATGAATGCCCCAAGGTGGTTGAGCAGTTCCTTTCCTCCCATCTGGAGAGAGGGTTTCACCAAACCCCAGCTTTCTATCTGTATTTCTCAATGCTATAAGCCCCTCCCCCAACTTCAAGAGCTGCACTAGAGGAGGCAATGCGTATCTAGGGTAACCCCCAGAAATTGTTTTGCTGGGTGAAAGAGTTTTTACATTTACATGGTTGGTATTAGTTTGCCCTGGTGTCATTGTTAGCTGGCTTTGGCTGCTGGAGTGTCTTTCTAGGGGTTTCTAGGTTCTTTCTGTTCTGAACAAAGATTTAGTGAAGACAAGTGCAAAAGGCAGCTAAGTTTTACATTCTATTAAAGGTATAGAGAGAAACAAAACATGCTTTGCAGAGCAAGTGCAGGCCAACTAAAAGTAGTAAATATGGCCTACAAATGGGCATAGTGGTGTACTCCTGTAATCCCAGCACTCAGGAAAGTTGCTATAAGGTGTCTTTGTTTTTTTAAGTATATTTAGTACAAGGTCTCACTACAGAGATTGGGCTCGTAGTGATCCTCCTGTTTTCAGCCTCCCAAGCCTTGGGATTAAAGGTGTGTCATCATGCCCAGTCTCAATCAGGTCCCAGGGGTGGGCCTGGCACGGCACGGCACGGCATGGTACGGTATGCCAGGAATCAAACCCAGTAAGGTTGATGTGAGTTCTGAGGCTAGCTTGGGTTACATGATGAAAGCCTGTTTCAAAAACAACAAAGCAAAGATACAAATACAAAGTGCAGGGTGGGTCACTGAAAAAGCAGTGCTGTCTCCCTAATAGTGGCCATCTTTTGTATCCTCTGCTCCAGGCTGACCTCAGGTCTAGGCTGTCCTATCACAAGCCTTCTTGAGTTCTTGGAAGAGGAACGTAAAACTCTTTGATTGGTTCCAGGTGCAAGGCTTTGGACTCTTTCTGTGCCTGAGGCCTGGACTCTGTGATTGACAAGTCATGGTCTCTTTCCCAGCCAGTTTGCCACACTCTTAAGCTGACTAGCAGGGTATATGTGCAAATGTCTTTCCCTATGCTGTTGTCTATGTGGTGGGCTCTGTAACCTGATGTTTATGACTCTTATGTAAAAATAGTGCCTCAGAGCTGGGCATGTGCCACATACCTGTAATCTCAGCCCTGGGATGCTGAGGCAAGAGGATTCTTTGAATTGTAGGCCACTCTGCTGTACATACTGAGTTCAAGGCCAGTCTAGAATACATAGTCTCAAAAAAAGTCTCAGCTTTACTGTTTTCTCTGTGTGTGTGTGTATTTTTGGTTTTAGTTGTAAAATACATGTTTTCCCTTTCTAGAGAATTTTCATGTGTTCAGGTGTAGTTTTACTTTGCTTGCTTGCAGCATACTCGAAGTTCTACAGTGGGACTTTATAATTTGATTGCCTGTTTAGTATATATATTATATATATCCATATGTGTGTGTATATATATTAGGAAGCAGGTGTTCTCTTAGTTAACTAGAATTTAAGACTAAATTATTTGAGTGAAAAATGTTAAATGAATTAATACATTTTTTTCCTGAGGTACTGAGGATTGAACATGGGGTCACTCCCACCCCCTCCGTGTAGGGTCACTTTTACCACTGAGCTATACCCCCAGCCCTTTTTACTTAATGCTTTTATTCTGAGACAGTTTCTAGGCTGGCCTCACACTGATTTGTCAGCCTCCCAGCTAGCTGGTGTTACATATGTACATCATACAGTCTTGAGTGGACCATCTACTAAACTAAGCATATAAAAACTGAACTTTTTTTTTTTTTTTTCCGGAACCAGGGATTGAACACAGGCCCTCATGCTTGCCAGGGAAGCACTTACTCCACTGAGCCATCTCCCCAGCCCCTAGAAACTGAACTTCTTTTGAGGCCTTTTAATCACCATTTGAAATAAA